AAGGGCAGCCGCGACCCCCACCCCTTGCCCCATGCCCGGGGGCCTCCGCGGGCTCCCGCGGCGCGCTGAGCCGGGAGAGCGCCGCCCGGACTGGACCTCTCCGGGCCGCCCCGCGGGGCGGGGGCTGCTGCGAGAGTTGAGCGGGGGAGGGGGCCAAGTTTGAAATTGAAAAGCCAGATAGAGAGAGAGAGAGAAAGAGAGGGACCAGGAGGGTTGGAGAAACCGAGGCACCCGGAAAGCCCGGTGGAGCAAGAGACCGAGACAGACAGGGACAGACAGGAGGCTACAGAGATCATTGAAACGAAGACAGACATTGGGCGCACAGAGTTACGGAGAGACAGAGCCGAGGCACAGGGGCGGACTCGATCGGGTTTAGTGGAGCATTTTAAGAAAAAGCATACATAGGACGCCAGTGAACACGTTGCTGGAGTCCCTCCCAGGGCCTCGGAGGGACCCTGAAGCTTAAGCTTCATTAGCCTCGTGCTAAGTCCGCCTCTCTGAGGCCTACGGAGACATTCAGAGACTACAGACATTCAGGCATGCGGAGATGCCGAGAGTCAGAGACTTGGATGCAGAGACAGAGAAAGAGGCGTGGTATGGACCAAGACATTCAGCCATATAGAGACACCAGGACTTGGGCGTGCGAGGTAGAGATCCAGAGGCGGGGGCCTCACTGGGAAATAGCCAGAGATAGAGACGCCCAAAACATAAAGACAGCGGCTCAGGTGTGCCCAGACACAGAGAGATGCTGAGTGGAGCAGAGCCATTCACCGAGACACCGAGATTTAATGAAGGTAGAGACCTAGGTGTGCTGACAGCCTCCAAGATAGACCCTGAGAGACCCAGGCCTGAAAGACTGGGAAGCGAGGCTGTGGGGAAACAAACTCTGAGCCGACTGATCCCCCTGTGAGCCAGAGGGTCTGAAACAGTAAGACAGAGATCAAGAAGGAGCCCGTAATGCACTCAGCCACCAAGACAGCCCCAACTTATTTTTATTTATTTATTTATTTAAGATGACTGGTAAGGGGATCTTAAACCTTGGCTTGGTGTTGTCAGCACCACGAGCGAACCGGCCATCCCTTTACAGGATCTGAACCCATGGCCTTGGTGTTATCAGCACCACACTCTCCCGAGTGAGCCACGGGCCGGCCCCCCCAATTTATTTTTAAACTCAGATCTTGGACGGCTGCTTCAGCCTTGGGGGACCCGAAGCCCTGGGGCCCTGGGGTGAATGCACTGTTCCTCGCCTGTCCACAGAGCAACTCTGGGATCCTTCTTCCCATCCCCTTGCCCCTAAAGTGCTCTGATTTCCAGGCCCCATGATGGGGGGAGGGGCAGGGGAGAGCAGAGAGTTTGGGATTGGTGCCTGGTAGGAGGGGTTGGGGGATGGGGGGAGTTTGATTTCTTTCCTTAAGTCTCCTGTCAACTCCTGGCAGGTGGGGGAGGGATCTGTTCTGATCTAGACTCACAGCTGTGGGGCCTGGCCTGGGTCCTCCTGGACAGTGGGGGGGAGGGGGAGATACAAGGGTTGAGCAGTTGGCATGGGTAATTGGAAAGGCTTCTGGGTGTCTTCCAATTGCAGGCTGGCAGCTGGGGAGAAGAGCCAGGCTCTGGTGTAGCTCCTGTCCCCCTGCCCTTAAAAGCTGACATCTCCCTGCACCTCACCAGCACAGTATTTCAAGGGAGAGGGAAGGAGAGAGCTCTGAGCTGGGAGGCCGGGGACCTGGACTCTGATATTTAAGGGACCTTGGGCATGTCCCTGCCCTGTCCCAGCCTCCCGTGCTCAGCTGTGAAATGGGGATGATACCGTATCCTACCTGCCTTTTGCGAGATCTGATGAGATGGTGGTGGGAATGTACTTTGTGAGAGGCAAAACAGCATGCAGGTGTGTACACCTGTGTACCTGTGTGAGGAGTCTCACTGGAATTAGGCCGACGGGGCTAGAGCAACCACTGACCCCACTGGTCTCCTCAGCAAGCTCCATGGGCCTGGGGGCCTCCTGTTCTCTCCTGGGCCTACACTGAGAATGTCCAGGTCAAATCCTAGGCCAGCTCCCTGACCCAGGCCTGCCTGAGAAACTGCTGTCTGATCCCATTATGAGTGAAGGGCTAACAGTAAAAATACTAATGGCTACTATTTACTGAGTACTTATTATCTGCCAGGTGCTTTTCAAGTATTATCACTTTTTTTTTTTTTTTTTTAAAGATGACCGGTAAGGGGATCTTAACCCTTGATTTGGTGTTGTCAGCACCACGCTCCCCCAGTGAGCGAACCGGCCATCCCTATATGGGATCCGAACCCGGGGCCTTGGTGTTATCAGCACCACACTCTCCCGAGTGAGCCACGGGCCGGCCCCAAGTATTATCACTTTTAAGCCAGGTATTCTCCTCCTACCACATTTAGGAGGTAGGAAGAACATAGTATTTTCTCATTTAGTTAGGAAAACAGGCTCAGGGAGCTCAAGTGACTTGCCCAAGTTCACAAGTAAAGGAGCCAGGATTCAAACCCAGGTTTATATTTTGAAGCTCAAGCCTCTACACTCCACACATCACAGCCAGTTATTCAGCCATTCTGAGCTCCAGGAAGTTCACTGGGAGGTGCTATGTGTGTGCGTGCATGTGTGGTGTGCATGTGCGTGTGTAGGTCAGGTGTAGGGGTGTGTTGTGTGTTGGTGGAGGGAGGGGCTGAGAGCCATCTGGCAGACCCAGCAGTCTCCCCTGAACCCTGCCCCCCTACCAGCCAGGAAGGAAACCAGACTGGCTCCCTCCAGTCCCTTCAGTCCCCCAGTCTTAACAGGGAAAGGGGGAGGAAGAGGGATGGGCAGAGACAGGTGGGCCTCAATGGTGCCCTTCCCTCTGTCCTCACCAGAGCCCAGCTGGATAGACTAGGGGATTGGGGAATTCTGGGAAGGAAATAGAAGCCACGTCCATACCCTATTTGGGGTGCCCCTGTCTCAGAGTGGTGACTGCCTCTCGGGGGGCGGACCCAGGGCTTGCCTGGGCCTGGGAAGGTGAAGACTGCTGCAGGCCAAGCCAGCAAGGAAGGAAAAGGCCCAGGGCACTCCCAGACTACACATGGCCACACTCCACCTCTGTGCCCCTGCTGCCCAGTGGCTGACAGCCCAGGCAGTCCTCAAATATTGGGCCAGAGGTATGAAGAGGACTAAGAAGGAGGGGCACCCTCCACCCTACAGTATGTCTCACACCCCAGGAGCCCCTGCTGAAGACCCCAGCTCCTATGCTCTGGCCTGGGGTGCGAACTGGGTGTTCTCCCATTGTACAGAAGGAAGGGCAGCTGCAAAGTCCCAAGACATCCCTTCAAAAGAGTCAAGCCCCCCAGGCTTGGGGTTTCTGCTGGCGCCTGGAGTCTGAACTCCAAGCCAGAGCAACGCTTGTTGAGAATTTCCTGCTGGGGGTGGCTGAAAAAGAAGGGCTTTTCCTTCAACTTGAGCCAGGGCAAGCTCTGGGGACTGCCAGTCACTGGAGTCTAATGGGGGGAAGTGGACTGGTGGGTTCCTTTGTACATCCCTGTAACTTCCCCAGGCTCATCTGCAGCTGTGAGAACATCCCCTTCCTGTGGGTCCTGGTGGTTCCTCTCTACCACCCCAGGATCCCAGCTCTTAGAGAGCAGCCTTTGTGCTGGAGGAGGCCAGGGGTGGGGAGCTCTGACTTTGAGGCTAGCGGCTGGAATCAGGGGCAGCAGAAGGGACTGGGAACCCCATTTCCCTACCACCCCCCAACCCCCATGCTCCTGTTCCAGAGGCAGCTGTGTGGATGACCTCATCCTGCAAACATGCTTTGTTCCTGAGAAAATGGAAAGTGTCTGAGGTTTGGTGGGGGGCTGGGTGTCTGCAGCAACAGCTCTCAGGGCTCCCCCTTGTCTTATTCCCCACCCAAGAGGGGGCCTGATGGGGGAGGAAATGTCTTCAGTGGCTCCTGCTCTCTCACTCTTCACTCCCCCTGCCCCAAAGCCTGAGAAATCAGAAAAGGTGGGAAGAGGCTGTCTCTCCCAGAGGCAGGGGGAGGGAAATAATGACCCAGAGGAGGGAGAGGTCCTGGGGCTTTGCCAGATGTGCCAGTAGTGATGCTTGGTAGGAGGTGGCAGGGGGGCACACGGTACTCTCTCTCTGTCTGGCCTCAGTTCCCCTCTGCCTCCCCAGGCATCTCATTTTCCGTTTTTTTCCCGTTACTAGCAAAACCTGACATCTGGCCATCTGTGCTGCCACAGCTGCTTCAGATGTTGCAGGCCAAAGCTGCAACAAGCTGGTGTGACCAGAGACACAGCAGGAGTGGAGGGGGATAAGGGCAGAGGGTCCAGCTGGGAAAGCTTGGCTGTGTCCAGCTTGCAGGATTTCCTTCCTGCTTCAGCCTGACTAGGCTGAGCCTCTGAAGTTCTTGTTGCTTGGGTGATTCTCCTGGGAGGGGAGGCCTGACACCATTTATCCATCCAGTATCCCTCTAGCATTCCACAGTTTCCTGGATCAGGAGGAGAACAGCCCATTCCCATTCCTAAGCTCCCCATTCCAGAGCTCTGGGTAAATGTTCCTCTATCCATCCATGTCCCTAGAGACCCTTCCTGGGAGTCAGAAGAAGGTGGGAGTGCTGTTCATAAAGGGTAGGGTGGGGTGGCTCCTGTCTCTGCTCCTGCCACCCTGGGGACAGTAGAGACAGTGGAGGCTAAACTCAGGCCAGAGCAGGAAATGAGTCACTGACCCAGGAAAAGACCCCTTCCCCCAGATCTGCCAGAACTAGATAAGAAAACAACTTCTGCTTCCTGATTTTTTCCTGGTCCCTTCTCCCCCCACCACCATTAAATGTAGAAATAAACATTCAGGACTCCTGGGTTCTCAGAAGCACCCCTTCCCCATCCCCACCTGCTCTGATCTGGCATTTCCTATGCCTGGTCTCTTACTCTGTTTTGAATGCAAAGGGCTTTTACCGGGGGCTAAGCCACAGACTCTCTGGCTCATCTCTGCCCCTCTTTGTGCTCCTAACAGGGCTCCCTCACATCGCCACTATGAGCGAGACATTTGACTGTGCCAAATGCAGTGAGTCCCTGTATGGCCGCAAGTACATCCAGACAGACAACGGCCCCTACTGCGTACCCTGCTATGACAACACTTTCGCCAAAACCTGTTCTGAGTGCCAGCAGCTTATTGGACATGACTCAAGGGTAAGGACCGGACCAGGCAGGGCAGGGAGTGGGTAGAGACTGGCGGGAGAGGGCAAACGATGGATCCACCAGGCCTGGGTGCCAGCACCCCTGCTGTGCTCCCCTTAGGAGCTATTCTATGAAGACCGCCACTTCCACGAGGGCTGCTTCCGCTGCTGCCGCTGCCAGCGCTCCCTGGCCGATGAACCCTTCACCTGTCAGGACAGTGAGCTGCTCTGCAATGACTGCTACTGCAGTGCCTTTTCCTCAAAGTGCTCCGCCTGTGGGGAGACCGTCATGCCTGGTATGTCCCAGGGTCTCATCCTGTGTGGGGACTGGCATGCCTGGTATCTGTGTAGAGTCCTTGCATGTGCCAATCTAATACATACATGGAGACCTGGTATGTGTAAAGACCTGCACACACAGCATGTTCCTGGAAATCTAGTGTATGCAGGATCTGTTGTGCCTGTGTGCTCTTGGGAGCTTAGCCTGCACAGGGATGTACACACCCAGGTATACACATGAGAGCTTAGCATGTGCAGAAACTGACAAGCTCGGTACCTTCCTGAGGGCTTTGTGCTGGACTGATAGGCCTGGTGTGCACCTGGGGGCTTACCATGTGCAGACAGATTGGCACACTTGATACACACCTAGGAGCTGGGCATGTATGAAGACCTGTATGTGTGGTACATGCAGGAGCTAAGGGTGTGCTGAGACTATCATGCTTGGTGCATGGGACTTATTGTGTGCAGAGATGGATAAACAGAGGGCTTGACATGTGTGGAGACCTGCACGTCTAATAGATATGTGAGGACATGTGGAGAATGGCATGTTTAGGAGATGCAAGGGCTTAGCATGAACTGACCGTATCATACCAAGGGCATTAGAACTTTGTGTGGGCAGAGACTTGCTTGCCTGGTATATGTGGGGTCATATTTGTGTGCTAGAACTATTATGCCTGTTGTATAGGGGCTTAACAGGTACTGAGACATCAGGCCTGTCACATGGAGGTTTAATGTGGGCTTAGAAAGTCACATCTGGGACATACGGAGGCCTAATATATGCCAAAACCCTCATGTCTAGTTTTGGGGACCTAACACGTGCTGAGCCATCGTGTGCAATGTTGAGGGGAGGTTAGCATGTGCAATACACATGGTGGGGGTCTTGCTGCATGTGCATGGACACCATCCTGCTCAGGTTATGGGAGCAGTGGGAACGCTTTTGGTGGAATAACAGAGGGTGGCCCTCAGGAACTTGGGACACAGCCTCTGAGTGGGATCCCTGTTCCCTACAGGGTCCCGGAAACTGGAGTATGGAGGCCAAACGTGGCATGAGCACTGCTTCCTGTGCAGCGGCTGTGAGCAGCCGCTGGGCTCCCGCTCCTTTGTGCCCGACAAGGGTGCTCACTACTGTGTGCCCTGCTATGAGAGCAAGTTTGCTCCACGCTGCGCCCGCTGCAGCAAGGTGGGGGCTGGACCAGTGGGGTGGGGGTGAGTAAAGCCTGTTGTGCAGTGGGAATCCCCAACTCCCCCCTCCACTAATGGATGCTGCCCCCACAGATGCTGACACAGGGTGGAGTGACATACCGTGATCAGCCCTGGCATCGAGAATGTCTGGTCTGCACCTGGTGCCAGAAGCCCCTGGCAGGGCAGCAGTTCACCTCCCGAAATGAGGATCCCTACTGTGTGGACTGTTTTGGAGAGCTCTTTGCACCTAAGTGCAGCAGCTGCAAGCGCCCCATCGTAGGTGGGACGAGGGTCAAAGAATGGAGTGGGTAGGGTGCAGGCAAGGGAGTGGGATGTGGGAGTGAGATGTGGTATTGGGTGAAGTTGAGGGGAAGGACCACCCCCATATATGCAGTGCTAACCTCTGGCCTCCTTCCAGGACTCGGTGGAGGCAAGTATGTGTCCTTTGAAGACCGACACTGGCACCACAGCTGCTTCTCCTGTGCCCGCTGCTCCACCTCCCTGGTGGGCCAAGGCTTTGTGCCAGACGGAGACCAAGTGCTGTGCCAGGGCTGCAGCCAGGCAGGGCCCTGAACAGGGCTCCTGGGCCCAGGATTTCCCAAACCAGGGCTCCAGGACTATGGTTCCTTTTCTAAACCACCTCTGGAACACAGACTCTCCCCAAAATGGGTCTGTCTCCTGCTGAAGAGGAGGATTTGTCCTCTCCAGGGGGAGACCTCTCCATTTGGGAGGATTCAGTCTCCCCACTCCAACATCCCCAAACTGGTACTCCCTGACCCAGGCTTCCCATCCTGTGCTCTTATGGAGCCTTCATGATTCAAACCCCCTCCCCAAACCTGGACTCCACAACTCAGCCCTCTCACTTACAGTCTGGGTTACCAGACCAAGCCTCCTCCTCAAATCAGGGCTCTAGACCCCAGCCCTCCAAACTTGGACTCTGGGACCTAGGCCTTCTTAAATCTAGATGTCTCTCCATAGATTTTAGGTCTGCTCTGAGTGCTTGAGAAGTTGCCCAAAGTGGACTGATCTCAGGCTTGACCCCACCTCTATCCCCAGGGCTGGGGCTGTCTGGGCAGCAAATTAGGGGCTTGCTGGTTACGGGGTCCTAGGGTACAGGGTGCTGCCCAGCCCATGTCCGTCGAGTGTCTTCTCATTTTATTTCAGCTCTGTTTTGCCTAGAGATGGGCAGAGGGGTGGGATTGGCTCAGCCCCTTCCAGATTCTGCAATAAAGCAGTGTGAGGAAGCACAGGCCTCTGTGTGTTTGTCCGGGAGAGTAAAGAGGAAGGAAGGTTCCACACACACCAGGAGACTGAGGATCTTCTAGACCTCCTCCGTGCTGGGCGGGTCAAGGGGTGAGAAGTCTCTCCCCAGGAAGGGGATCCCCACCGCTGCTACCGCCTCTCTGAGCTAGGCCTGCCTCCCCCGGCTGGCTGGAGGAGGACTTTTTCCTCCATGTGGGAAAGGAAGGGATTTGGAGGAGGTTCCAGACGGGTGGCGGTGGGGTTCCTTCGTTTGGTACACATCGCCCCCCTCCCCTATTTTAGCCCTGGCCAGATCCCACAGAGCAAGCACCCCGTCCCGATCCCCAGTGTGGGCCCAGACCCTCAGCCTCCTTCCCCCTCTTCCCAAAGATGAGCGGGGGCGGCCCGGGATCTGCTCGTGGCCGCACGTTTTTTGCCAAAAAAGGCAAGGATGCAGCTGCACGCGCCGCGGGAACATCTGGATCCGATTCCCGGCATGAATGGGTCACGGCCCCGCCCCCCCCCCCCCCCCCGGGGTGGGTCAGGGGGGGGGGCGGGAGTGAGCGATGGGGGGCTGTCCCCACAGTGGGGAGAT